AGATCAGTATGTGACAGAATGTCTAACAGACTCTGAGAAAGCAGAGGAGGAAAAAGGACTGTTGTGCCAAAGAGACACCTAAGCTCGGGGAGGGAAAGAGACTCAGAGTAACTCTGCCTTAATTACTCTAGGAATAAGTTAAACAGGAGAACTGTGTTGACAGGCTTTCAAGAATCTGCTACATTTCCCCATTAGCAATAAATATCTTTCCAGAAATCCAGCTAGTTCTTCTACTCAATCCTCTTGGCAAGATTTTCAGAAGTGGATTGCCTTTGCCTTCTTCTTCCTGTGGCTGAGAGAGAATGACTGGCTGAAAGTCACCCAACCAACCATGTGTCCAAGGCAGGATTAGAACTCACGGTCTGCCAGTTTCCAACCTGGTGCCTTAATCACTACGCTGAACTGGCTGTCATTATATAACTTTGGAAGGATAAATTATATATGACCTGGAACATTGGATTGTTGATGTAGGTTCTTCCTCAATGTTTGAATTCATCAGATGGGAAAGAGGAGTATTTTTAAACCATAGTTTTCTTGTTTATGATTATTTATCTCCAGCCAAATCTTGTCTTTTTCTTTTTTCTAAAAAAGAATACATGAAGTTTGTAACTGTCAACGTCTTAATTTTAACCAGAGGGTTTTCACTTCCAGGAAAGATGGCGGACTGAAGAAGGCTCCGCAAAAAGCGCAGTTGATATGCGTGACCACGAACAGGGCACTGACGAGTAGATCAGCTCCTTCAACCCTCTCTGGACAAAGAGAGGATGCAAGATTACCCAAGCTGTGCTCCTTGGGATTGCTCCACGTGAGGAGACCGCCAGACAGCAGTCTCTGGAGGAAGGAGATGAGGGAATTTGCCATAACTGCTCCAGGTGCAAACAGAGCCTTTTCAAAGGACGCTGAGTTCACACTTCCCTTGCTAACCACTTTTGGAAACTGCCTATTAATGGCTTCAAAGAAATTAGACACCTTCAAACTGACAAGATTGCAAACACCAGGTGAAGGCCTTCAATCTTTAATACAAGAAAATGAAGATGTATCTTTATAATTTTTAAGAATTTAAAATAAACAACAAAAAGCAAGACAAGGTTTTGACTATAGAAAGTTTTAAACTGATTAAGTGCTCAGAAAATGTTGGAATCATGGATTTTGAATATTAAGACTTTGAAATTAATCTTAAAGAATAAATGCATTTTTGTGGGAAAGAAAAAGAGTTTCTGATATTAGAGACATAACAAGACAAGTAACTTATAATGGCGTTCAGAGATATCTTTGAGGAATTGCACTGGAAATTGCACAGGGACTTTGAATCAATCATGTCACCTACGTTGTCTCTTCTTGGGAACAGTCTGTTCCCAGAAGAAGATGTTACAGAAGAGGTATGCAACAAAATCTACTTGAGAACAACATGAGAGAATTTGAATAAGAATCTGACATCAGATATAAAGAAAAAATTGGATGAGTCTTTAAAAATCAAGAAAGAAATGAAAATAACAATCCCAGAGAGCAATTGGAACAATTTCTTTTTGCTGGACTCACAAAAGAGGCGGTATAAAGTACTGAAGAAATTCGAAACAAGGATCAACTCTCATCTGAATGGTTTAAAGAGCAAGATTATTCTGGGTAAAAAGAAAGAATATGAAGTCAGTTTATTTGACCGGGGCTAAAATGGGACATGTTGCTGTTTTGGGGGGTTCTTTTTGGATCTGCTGATATCTGGATTGAAAAAATGATGTGTATTGGATTTGCTTATATTTAACATGGTGTTTAAGCTTTTTCCTCCATGGTTACTTTATGTATCCTAATTTGATAGCATTTAAATTGGCTCTGTATTGAACTGTCTTTTTACTTAAAGTAAGGAAGAGAAATTATCCCTCTTTGTTATGTTAGATTTTAGTCTTTTGTTTATATTAGGAAACTGGGATCACTTTATATTTGCTAAAAGTGGATTTGTTTATGGTTAAGAGTTGAGATATGGAATGTTTATTTGAATGGGATACGTTGCTATTTGGGGCGGTTCTCTTTGGAACTGTTGGAATTTGGAATGGAAAAATGGTATGTATTGCGTTTGCTTACAGTTAACATGGTGTTTAAGCTTTTTTCCCTACAGTTACTCTAGAAGGGTTATTTGTGAGTTTGTCTTTTTAAAGAAGAAATTATCCCTCTTTGTTAGGTTTTTTGTTTACACTAGGATATCAGGACCACTTTATACCTTTCAAAGAGTTGAGATGTGGAATGTGGAGTTTTATATATGTTAATTAATGTTATTATTTTAGGGCTCTGTTTGTGCCGACACCTGGATTGGAGAAGACATTACTTACTGGATTTGCCTATAGTTAAGAAGTGAATTATGGGATGAAGAGTTTTATTTCTATTAATTAAGAGAAGGTGAAGAGATTATGAAATTGTTTATACTTGTCATGATGAGGGTGGAAAGTTGATTTCTTAGGATTTTTTTTTTTGCATTTTTTTCTCTTTTCTTTTTTAGTTTGTATTATCTTTTATTGTTGTAACTAAAGCTTTTAATAAAAATTGTTATAAAAAAATTAAACCAGAGGGCTTGGTAGCCTCTTAAATTTATCTATCCAGACTTTTGTGTTTTTTATATTGTTATTTTTGTCTCTGAGCTTAATAAAGCAAAAAGGCATTCATAAAATTTATCTGGGGATACTGGCAGTTACCAAACCCCAGATACCTGCTGTAGCAAAGGGGTGAGTGATGTCACCATGATATGTGTGTCTGCTCTCTTTTACTTACCCACAGTAGCAGCTGTGCCTGGAGAAAAACGGTCTTCACATAACTGCTTTAAAAAGGAAGTCTTTCCCACATTTGAATTTCCCACCAGAACTATCTTGAATATACGATCTGGAGCCATGCGCAATGCTTCATCCTTCACACAAGCACAAATATTAGGTGTTTAGTGTTGCCTTGTTAGGCATACAATAAACAGAATGAGAGATGGCTATGCAGTACTTTTAAACTATGTATTGAATCCAGATCCACCAATTATAGTTCTAAAGTAAAAACACGTTAGCTGGTTACTTGCTACCAATTCTATTTGGCAATGGAAAATTATATTTCCAAGGTGGCTTATATAGCATTAATAAGATGATGGTGACTGATAATGATAATGGTAATAATAATATAAAAATTAAAATACAGGAAGTACAATAACATAACCCATTAAAAGTTAAAACAATACAATATAGTTTTAACCCTTACTTGCAGCAGGAAGGCTGTGGGTGTTCTTGTTTAAAATAAGACATGCCTGCTGAGGTGACTGTCTTGTTTTTAATTGGATTAATGGTTAATTAATTTAATTAATAATTGGACAATAGCAGTTATATTCCTCTAAATGCCATCTTTGAGAAAAAGACACTGAAGCCAAGCTTTCATGCAATTCACATTTTGAAGTGATCTTATTTGCCCTTCTCAGAATAATGTATACTTCTGCAGATAGTTACTCAACTTTATTAGAATACTTAATTCAAACTGCATACTAACAATATGTATTTTGTGAAAAACTACATCTATAAATAATAATGTTTTGTTACATTAAAGATAGATGCAAAAATTGTACAAATGGTGAATATAGGTTGGAAATAAGACTACTGTACAACTGACTCAAAAATATAAAAAGTCTTATTGCTACTCTCTTGATAATTTCTATTCCCGATTTTTAAAATTCTTGTTTGAATAGAAGTGAAAGATATACGCTTCCGCATTTCTCATTTTACATCTTTATAATATTAATGTAACCACAGACTGAATAATGAAATGTACATTGCTTTACATATTTCCAGTTATGTCAGAAAAAAATGATGAAGCTGATTGTTGGAAGCTATCCAACAAGTGGCTGAAGACTTAAAAACTTTTACAAGACCAACCAAAATATTTATTACAATTTTATCCTGAATGAATAATGAAAGAGCTAGTATACTGCTGTTGACTTGCCTTTTTTACACACAGCCCAGATAGATATAATGTCATTATTTTTTTAGAAACCTATTATGTTTGCCAAAATGTACTTCATTCAAAATAAAATCTAAGTGGTGCAGTTTTGTTCCTTACATTTGTCAGTGTTTCTTTTCCTACTGGCTCTTCCCTAGGATGTTCAGGCTGTGAGTGCTGTTGGGCGCCGTTCATTTCTGATGATCCTGGGGAGACATCTTCATCTTCTTCTATCCACCTGATTAGTTGCCTCTCTGTCCTATTGAGAAGCTGTGATGTTCAGGCTGTGAGTGCTGTTGGGCGCCGTTCATTTCTGATGATCCTGGGGAGACATCTTCATCTTCTTCTATCCACCTGATTAGTTGCCTCTCTGTCCTATTGAGAAGCTGTGGCAGATGATCTTCTTCAATGGATATTATCCTTCTGAAATGCTTTCTCTGAATCAGCCCCCCAGCCACATGGGGCTCAGAATCTAATGAAAGATCCACACTCAAACTAACGGAATTTCTTCTTTGGGATGTGCTAAATGTGTCATCTTCTGAAGACTCACTAGAAAGTTATTAGGAAAAGCATACAACTCAGTAATTTATAATTTGGTGGAAATTTGAATTTGAGATCATATGTGAACTCAAACATAGTTGATGAATATTCAGTAAATAAACATATTGAAAATATCTGAAGAATACTCAAAAATTTGAAAGTCAGGGCATTTTCACTCCAGTTCAAAATTACTTTTCATCCTTGATTTCAATAAACACAACAATTAGTTGCCAATCAATATAGTCACATTTGCTTTAGAATGTTTTTGAACAAATTTGCTTCTCACCATCACCTCACTGCTATAACCATTGGTTCAATTCTGGAAAGATGTCTATGATTGACCAATTCATCTGTTTAGGACATTTCAGAAAATATGAGAAATTGAAAGTCTTGCCATATGACTTTATATTTAGAACTTATCCTTCAAATAAAACTTAATCCTCAGAAAGTTTCTTTTTTAAGCTTTTTAATTTATTATTATTTCAAGAAAAAATGAAAAGAAATAATACTGATATACTGTAAATACACATTGAAAGAATATAGAGAATATAGTAAGGAATAGGGGAAAAAAAGCTATATGAGCAATAGAATACGGGTAGATAGCCAACAAATTGTGAATAACCAGCAGGTTGAAAATATCATATGGCTAATATACTCTAATACACCATTATCAACTTACAGTACTATAAGACATTTCATATCCAATTTCTAGTCAAGAAATCTCTATTGAACTGTAAAAATAGTTGTTTAATAGTTGGAAAGCAATAAGGAGAAAAAGCTATAAATAACAAACAATATATTGAAAGAATACTATAAATACAGTACTAAAATATAAACTTTGGAACCCAAAGTCAAGATGTGGCACAATTCCATGTATAGAATTGTAATCCGAGACTGAATTGTACATCACATTTACTTTTTAGATATGAAGTTATTCTAGATATTGAAGCATATTCTTAGTTTAATTAACCATTCCTCCATAGACGGGATCAGAGATCTTTTCCAGTAAAAAGCATATAAAACCCTTGCAACTGTTATCATATACAGTTCAGTTCAGTGTATTTTGAAGAAATGTGTGGAGTTTAATAAAAAATATCTCAGGTTGAAATGGAATTATGACTTTCAAAATTTGTTCCTTTCTTTGGTGAAATAATTTCCAATATTGTTGAGCTTTGCCACATTGCTATCACATACGGAAGAAAGACCCAATCATCGCATATCCAGCATTTTGGGGAAAAAGAGCTACTCATAGAGATCATGAGTGTAGTAATGTACCAGCGATAAAATATCTTATACCAGTTCTGTCTAAATATAATGTTTGAGGTGAACTTCATATTCTTTTTTTATTGAAATTCCCACAGTTCCATCTCTATAATTGTATTCAAATTTTGCACTCATACAATATTTTTACTTGTTCAGGTTCTGAATCATATTTCACTACAGTAATAGATTATAAATTGTGGCCCACAAATGTTCAGTGTTCTGGGTTTATAAGAATTTCAAATTCCTCAAAATTCCCCCTTGTTTCCATAATCCCCTTTGCTGTGCTTGCTTTTTGAGAGTATTGGAACCAACTGAGTATGGAAGAGGAAAAGATTTTTGTCCTGTTAATAATAAAGTCTTGTAATCTAAACAGATTGTCTCTCTGTTGAATAAATTTCTTAGTGCTTTCTTCTTCATAAAAGTAGACATTCAGTAAGGAAGCAAAAGGCGAGAAGTCTGGACTTTTTCTTTTCCTATATCTATTCCAAACATTCAATAAATTGCTTAATATTAGACAGACTTGAAAATTGTTTGTTTCTGTGTATATCAACCCAAATACATAAATCCAGTCCCTGTGAAAAATCTACCCCTTCCATTAAGATAACGGAACCATAAGGAAACACAATTCATTCTGAAATCCATGTTAGACAGCTGGTATGGTAGTACAATCTGAACTTGGAGCTGCTAGGCCACCTACTTCCTTTGAATCTTGCAAGTTCTTGAATTTAATCCTTCGCCTTTTGTTAGACCACATGGAAATAATTTCTTGTCTAGACCAGTTGTTTAGTACCTTATTCTCAATATAGACTTGAATAATTTGAAAAAGGAAATTTAGTCTTGGTAAAATATTCATTTTGACTGCAGGAATTTCTTTCATCTAGAAATACACATCATTATATGCTTCCAAGTTGGTAATAATTGTTGTTGAATAGATCCTTATTACTTTTTGTCAAAAAGATTCCTAAACATTTAACCTTTTTAGTAGTAATGTTAAAGCCAGTTAGTTGATACACAAATTGCTTTTCATCGTCTGTCAAATTCCATATCAACATCCGTGTTTTCTTTTTATTAATTTGATAACCTAACATCAAACCATATTGTTGTATACGTTCCATCAATGTCATTAGAGGCCCTTGACTGAGCAATTGTTAGTACAATATCACCTGCAAATGCTTTCAGTTTATTAGTTCTTGAGCAGCTAGTTTAATCTGTTTTCTTGACGTATCTGGATTGTCAAGGGTTCTAATGCTAATAAAAAGAGAGAGAAGGAATCCTTGTCTTGGTCCCTTCAATATAGTGTGCTGCTGTGAAATAAGACCATCCACAATAATTTTAGCTTTTTGTTCTTTATGGAAAATTTCAAAAACATGATCAGTGCAATAAATGAAATTATCCATCCAAATTCTTTTAAGGATCCAGGTTAGTTCAGTACAAAAGTGCTTGGGCTCTGTGGCTCCCAATTTCCACTAAAGGCACCACTTTCTACCACCTACAAAGAAGCTTTCAGGTCCTTCAGAGGAGGACTGTTTTTGGTTCCCAGATAAATTCTGAGCCACAGCTAAACAAGACAGGGAACAAAGATGTAGTTGGAGATTTGAAATATACACAGGAAATAAATACTTAAGTAAAGCATTGTTTCTTGCCATACTGTGACTACTATACTATTCTATAACTTACCTGAAAAACTAATAATGTGCTGAAGACAAAATAGAAGGCTTACCTCTTCAGGGAACTTCTTCTCTCAATATATTTGCCAATAATTGAGCCTGACCTTTGCTTCCAACTGACAGGTGCAACATTCCTACATTTCTGTAGAAATATTGTTTTAAAATGTCAAAATATACTTAATAAGACAACAGATGCAAGGCTGGAATGTCAAAACAATACAGATATGCTTGTTTGTATGTCTTTTAAGCAATGAAAAACCATGGTGGTAACATTTCGGTGGCATACAACATGTGAGAACTTTCTCTTTTGACAGATTGAGCTCCATCTCCAGTGTCCATCAGCTTCTAGAAAAACCCTTCTTCTCCCTTTGGGTCACTGATTAGCCAATTGATGTTCTATTAAGGCATGACTAGGGTGAAATATCCAGCCTCAAGTCATGGGCACATCCGCTTTGGAACCTCTGAGTGGTGGGATATCAAGAGAGCGGCAGGCTGCCGGTCTGCTTCCCGGTCCCGTTCAAGGTGCTGGGTTTGACCTTTAACGCCCTTCAAGGCATGGGGACCGCCTCTCCCCGATTACATCAGCCTGTCCCACCAGATCTGGCAGGCAAGGTATGCTACACATTCCATCGGCCAGGGACATGCATTGGGTGGGTCCCGGGAGGTGGGTCTTCTCTGCCATGGCTCCCTCCTTGTGGAACATTCTCCCTCCTGAAGTGAGTCTCGCCCCTTCCCTGCTGTGGTTTAGGAAGTCCCTCAAGACCTGGTTGTGTCATCACGCCTGAGGGTCTTTGGGAACCGGAGACATTCTTAGATGGCTCCGCTGTAATTGATACTCTCCTCTCTCCGTGGGGTTTGTATATTTTAAAACCTTTTTTTTTTTTTTAAATTGTGATAATGCTTTTATTTTAACAATAACTTTTTAATCTTTTTATATGCCTGTTTTTATTCACTTGTTATTTTATTTTAATTGTTGTATGCCACCCAGAGTCACTT